CTGTTGAGGCTTGTATGCTTTCTTAATTATGACCGAAATGGAATGGACTATCTTCTAAGCAGGATAATGTTGCATTGATTGTGGTTTTTGAAGAAAAATTTACTAACCACGGAGTTGATAATTTGGGCAAGCAGCAGCTTCTTTTTGTGGTATAACTTTTCATCATAATCTTAATCATATGATTATAACATGCATACTGCTTAGTGCAAGGCATTGGTTTTTGGTGCTTTTATCATTTGCCAGTGTATGACTGTGTATTCCATCGGTGATTGCAATATCATGTGATTGTATAGATGTAATAGGGGGTTAGAGTGATCATGGGCTAGTTATAGATCAGGCCTGCCCTCTAAAGATTGCATCAATTGTGCTGGGCCTATACTAGATTACAGGGATTCTGCCTCTTGACAAAGTAATTTTCAACAAGTTAGTGCTTACTCATCCCTTGCAAGGGTGTGTGTTGGTCTTGGATTGGAACAGCAAAGTAGGAGAATGGATCCCTTAACAAATGAACCCTTATTCACCAATTGCACTAGAGATTTTATTGGAACTCTAGATTCCATATTTTACACTGGTGAATTTCTTTGCATTCGAGTCTTAACCAACAATGTACATCCAGCCTCCTATGGCTGCTGTTCCCTCTCTGTTATTCGTACTTATATAGAGAATTGTCTATGCTTTCAGCCAATTTTTTGGCGGTTGAGTCCTTATTGGAACTTTTGGATGAGGATATCTTGAGGAAAGACACAGCTCTTCCTTCTCCAGAGTGCTCCTCAGATCATATAGCTCTTTAACTCTTTTAGCCGAGGCATGCCTAGGCTTAGACGCTGACACTCCAGGTGTGGTTTTAACTGAGTCAATGCATGCTATTTTATCAAAAGCTGTAGGATAAGAAGTTTCTGTATGTATTTGAGATAGATCATGGCTATTTCTCAAGTTGACTGTCTATTACTTGTGGTTGTCAAATGCCTGAATGTTCAAGTTTCACCTTGTTGGCTTCAGTAAAAGATAATTGTTCTGGTCTCTCTAGTCATTAACATATCTGGTTACTGGTTTCAGGTCTGGAGATGCCCTAAAAATGGGGGAAGGAGAAACTGATGATACAGATAAATTATTGGAAAAAGGGTAGACGATCCACTTTGTGTTCTTACTCAAAGGATTGATGATAGAATCCTTGGAATGATCTTCTTTGTATAACAGCGCCTTTGTCTCATAAGAAAATCGTGGTCATGCCCTTTTTCAATTCCTTTTTCCCTTGCCGATAGAAATGTCCAGTGGCTCAGTATAATTAGTTATTGTCTTGTACTCTAGTTCTCTCTGCAAAGTGTATGATTAGTGGCATTGCAATTGATCGCATGTCCCTTTTTCCATCTTTGGTCTTATGTTTCTTCCCCTTTTTCTTGATTGAGGAACAAAAATCAAGTTCTTCTGCGTACTTTCTTCTTTCTCTCTCTCTCTCTCTTTTTTATTTTTGGTCCCTCGTTCCTTATTAATGATTACAACATTCCAACTTCCAAGCAGTTAACTAGCAGTGAAAGAACACCCCTAATTCCAAACAGTTAAACTAGTAGTGAAAGGAGAAAAGAAGGGTATGTTGGGTGGAAGTATGGTGGGACTAAAGAAGGGCGGCTTGTGTGGAGTATGGTGGGGTTCTTCTAACATTCTTCACCATTTATATATGTAAAATTAGAAAAAAAAGAAAAACTTAAGACAATGGAGGAAGGAAGGCTGTTCTTCTTAAGTTATAGAATTATAATAAATCCATTCATTAGTACCAAAAAAAAAAAAAGAATTATAAAAAAATCCATTTATATCCCTTACCAATGCCATAATTAATTAAAAATATGTTGAAAATGCATATTAATATTTACTTCAAACACATTAAAGGAAAAAAAAAATAACATTTTGAATTTGTGGCACAATGCAGCTCAAAAGAAAAAGAAACTTAAAAACAAATAAAGAACATTAAGCATGGACTTTGGTTTTCCTGCAGATGTGTTCTTCTAACAATCTTACAACCTAAGACTTCTCCAAATATGTATTCTACATTCGTAGTCGATAACATACTTGCATCTTGATTGTGTACATTTGAGGAATACCTCTTTACAATACTTGTCACAATTACTGCATTTGAGATAGCCGTGGAAATAATCCTGCTTCGCAAAAGTGAGAGGGTGCTCATGAAATCCATACTTGTGAGTCAATCCGAGCTTCAAGAAAGGATAGTTGCTAAGAACACACAAGAAATGAGCAGAATTATCACAGATTCCACAATAATAAAACCACTCATTTGGATCTCTTGATTCTTCACAAATATCACAGACACATTGATCTGAATGATGATGAATATCATCGCGTGGAGTGAGTACTAGAGGATGTTCATCATTCTTGTATTGGGCTGTATTAGGCAACGCAAGACGTGTATAATCCAAGGTGAAATGATCACATTCCTTGCGTCTGCATATATATGCCCCTTTTTTCTGATGACCAATATCACAAATACTGCATGTGAAAGTAAATTTGTGATCAAAGAAGACCTGGTGCTTATGTCCTTGAGTGGTGATTGTGTCGGGAATTAGAAAACATGAAATGCAGTAACCCTGATCAATTGCATCGTTTCTGTAGGAAAGCCCACTGCCGTGCAAACAACAGAAGCCACATTTGAACTCTATGTAAGGCTTAAGAGTGAAGGTGCCCTTGAAAGCCCAATGCCGTGTCTTTCTTGGTAACTCAGCACAACGCTTGTGAAGAATGTAACTGCATTCAGCACAATAATAAAATGAAGTTGCGATGGACCGCCTGCAACCATAACAAGATTTTTCATCTTTAACATCATCACAAAGTATTAATCTGCATGGATGGTTGAAGTGTTCAATCTCTATGGCTATTACTTCCTCTCCAATTTTCTTTTCCTTGAGAACACGAGTAATAGAAGGCTCTCCAATTAACCACCCCAAGTTTATTTGATTGGAATTTTGAATTTCATCTGTCACCTCATACTCTTGGATGAAAATATCTTTGTCCATTGCACAATTCACATGAACAAAGTAATCACAACCTGGACAATGATAACACCCATACTCTGCATTGATTTCATTCTGACAAATTCTGCAATCCCTCTTATTGACTTGTTCTTCTTCAAGGAAATAATAAATATGGGAAATTGGATGATCATGCCTTGTTATCAAGATGTTCCTTGGGAGTGAAGTGCAATCCTTATGAACTGCAATGTCACATTCAGTGCATACATAAGGAATGCAGTACCTCCCATCTGTACCACAAGCATCACAAATGAAAGAGGATGATGGTCTTGGTGCTAGGGTAAATGGATGCTCATGACGCATATTTTGTATCACTTTATGGTCAGGGAAAATATACTTGATCATAATGCCAAACTCACAAAGAGTACAATAATAAATGAATCCCTTGTAAGCTTTGGAGCATAAATGACAAGAACATCTCTCTGGATGAGGTGGAGGGTTGGGTAGAAGAGAAAGAGAGTGTTTGCGGTGACTAGGGTGTTTGATCTTAGGGGGTAACTCAAAGCATTTCTGATGAAGGAAAAACTGACAATCGATACAACAATAAACAGGACCTGATATGGGCTCTTCACATGCAGTGCAAGATCGATCTTGGGGTTCAATGAAGTGGTTTTGAATGAAGAAGAGTGAATGTTGATGGCTAAAATGTTTTAGCTTTGGGAAATCTCCAGTAATCAAGTTTGGAAGCAAAGCACATTTAATGTCAAGGTCAAATATACAAGAGGAACAATGATAAACAAATAGTTCCTCACCTTTTTTATATTTTTTTCTACAGGAATTGCAATACCAAGATCTGAAACGAGGGCGGGCGTTCGGCCTCTTCTCATAAAGGATGAGAGGATGGCTCGTGTGAAAGGGATGATTGATCTCCCGTGGTAGCTCAGCACAAGACTTATGAAGACAAAAGTCACACTCTGAGCAGTTGTAGCTGGAACCCTCTACCCGTTCTTTACATGCGGAGCAGTAATAAATTATACTAATCCAATCAATCTCCTCTTCCACCAGCACCAGAGGATGGGGATGACTAAAATGATTAATCATCTTCATATCTCAAGAGAAGATACTAATGAGTGTATGTGAAGGAGGGAGGGAGGGGTAAGCAGAACGCTGATTAATCAATTTGTGTTTTTAGTTTGATTTGATTTTGGAGGAGATGACAGATAAGAGAGCAGCAGCAAATGATCAGAAATTAGTTAATTGCAAGATGAGGACAAACATCACAGTTGGGTCCCACCTCATCATTCACGGCTTAATGGTTTCTTTTAACAAAAATCACTTTCATGATTCTCCCCTTTTGATTATTTAAGCCTCGAAAAGACGATTTTATCCCAAAAACAAGTGTTAAAAGACAAAAAAATCAGCTCAACCAGTGCATGAAACTAATTTTTGCTTCCGAAACTCAAGACTTTTTAAGTCCCTAAATTCTCCTTTGCGGTTAAAAAAAAAAAAATCTGTAAAATTTTATCATAGATACAACTCAATGATAAAATTTCAATTTGTCATACATTATCATTTTTATCAGCATTCGTACAAAAGGAATTGTGGAGATTAGGAAAATACAATAAAAAAAAAAATTATATCCATTTTAAGTGAAATACCCTTTAACTAGGGGTATTTGCGATTTGGATGGATTGATTTGTTATTTTTTTTAATTTAATTTAATTTAATTAAAAAATGTCAAACTAATTCAATCTATTTAATATATTATAACTAAATCACTTAATTATTATTGGAATGGATTGGATCAAATTTGATTAATTGATTTTGTCCCAAAAAAACATTTTTGAGAGTTTGAGTATATTACTCTTCCTTTCTTGAATTTCTATCATATAAAAACAAAAGTAAAACCAAGTAAATTTATAATAATGGAAGTATTTTATAATACAATTTTAGGATTAGGATAGATAAATGATGAGAATACAAGAGATGGAAAGAAAATTCGTTTTTTTAATTAATTCTTTTAATAGTTGTTCAAATTGGATGATCATAGAGTGAAATCACAAATCAAATCAATTTAACCGATTTTTTATATTTTATTTAAATTAATTTAATTAAATAATAATTTTAATCAATTTTTAATTAGATTGGTTTGGATTGAGTTGAATAATCAAATTGGGTTAGATATGAAGATTGTTACTCTTAACATTCTCTAAATTAAAATTTGTTGTTTAAGTATAACCAAGAGTTTAGCTAAATTATTACTTATTAATTTAAAATTTTTAATTGAAAACAAAAATAAAAATTTTGAAGTCTTATACATTTAAGCAACCACTTTTTTAATGTACAAAAAAAATTATTTAACTTTTTTTTTATTGTACCCTATAAACTTGAAAATTTTACATTTTTAAATAAAAAAAGACAATATTTTTATTTTTATTTGAACATTTTCTCATAATCCAAGATGGTTGTTCTATATATTTGAAAGCTATATTTAAATTTTAAAGTTTGAGTTGTGAATTGTTGAATACATTCAAAAGAAAAAAAATCTTTGTATTAAAAATAT